TAATGTAACTTTTTTTTTCTTTCAGTATTTTACTTTTCACAGGGTGACAGGGACAAAGGAGTTACTGGATTGCTAGCTTCTGATTTTCACATGATTATTTGTTTCACCAAGGAACCAAGTTTGAAACAGAGCCATATTTTGTATTTATTTACAACAAAGTAAATGAAATCAATACTTGGACAACTGTAATAATAATAATAATAACAATAATAATAATAATAATAATAATAAATACTTCAATTTCAATAGCACCCAGCGGTTAAAGTCAGATCCCAGTGTGCTATATGTTACACAAACCTATAGGAAAATACAGTCCCTGTTCCCAAATGCTTTCATTTTTGTATTGTAAGTGCTAAAACACATCCTGCCAAATCCTAGCAAAAAGCACACCAACTTCATTGAAAATATTAAAGTAGGACCAAACCTTAAGCTCCACAATCAGTTAGGGAAGGGAAACCTCCATCTATAGAAGTGTCTTCCTGTGTGAAAGCGCTGTAGCTGTTAGGATCCAAAATATAATTATTTGAAACTATAGGGTCTATTATTGCATATGAATATTCAGAATAAATATTCCGAAATAGCTTATTTTGAAATAGCACATCTATACTGCAGGGAAGCCTCAAAATTAGTCTGAAGCAGGCTTCCCTAATCCAGACACGCTATCTCAATTTAGAGCCCCTGGAAGTACTGGTGAGGGATAACTCAGAATGGCCCTGATGAGGGGCCATTTTGAAATAGCAGCAGTGGAGCATCTAACGCGCTTTATTTCAAAATAGCTATTTCAGAATAGGCTTTATTCCTCGTAGAATGAGGTTTACAGATTTCGGAATAAGCTGGCTGTTACTTCTAAATTATTTCAAAATAATGGAAGGGCTGTGTAGACGCTTGCATTGTTATTCTGAAATAATCCTAGTTATCTCAAAATAACTGTGCAGTGTAGACGCATCCACTATGAATACTGACCCAGATTTAGGTATGATCTTATAGGTGTATCAATTCAGGGTATACTCTTTCCTGATATAGTTGCATGGGTACAACCCTAGCGTGAGTGCATTGACACTGGTGTAGATTATTTGCCTTCCCATATGGAAATAGCTTTACCAGTACAAGTCCTTTTATATAGATATAACTGCATCCATGCTAGGAGAGGATTGTAACACTTTAATATACCAGTCCAGGTAAAGCAGTACACTTTACTTAATTCCCACTTTGCTTTTTCTGCTGGCAAGAGTAGATGACAAAAAAAAGTGCTGCTGCTTTTGTGCCAGAGAGAATTCCATTCCTTCCTTTTGAAGCTTGCAGCAGTTCAGGAAAAAAAGCAGAACTGTTTGTAGGACCCAGCAGTGCATTTGGTCCTAGAAGTTGTGGGGGGAGTTTCAGCTGTTCTGAAGAGAAAAGGTTCAAGGTTGAGAGTCTCTTTGTAACACGGTTACTACTGATGCTACTTCCTCTCATAGCAGTTGAGCTGGAGAGACCTCTAGACTCAACAGGAGGGGGAGGGGGAAGAGAGAGAGAGAGAGAGAGAGAGAGAGAGAGAGAGAGAACATTCATGTGCAAGAGAGAGATGGGCAAGTTAAATTCCATTTTGTTTTCTCCTTGCCAGTAAAGAAAAATACATGTATTTTTAAAGGATGTAGCTATTCAGTGCTTAATATCAATAAGAGCTCCTCCGCTTTTCTCTTTCTGGAATTAGAAAGGTAAATCACTCACCTAGTTGGGAAATTCCAATTGCTGCTCATCTGAAGTTTGCCAATCTCGGCGTTCACCCACGTGGCAGCTCCCAACCCTAATAGGCAAACAAGCCTTTCAGAGAAAGTAATGGGGCAAACTAGCTCTTCTCATATATCCACATACTCTCTCTTGATGGCAGTGGGCACTGCAGGCCTGCAACAGAAAAGAACTTCTGCAGGTTTTTGAATAAACCTACCAACATCTGAAAGCTACTGTACGTCTGAGGATGTTCAAGGAGATACCTAGGTACATTTCTTATTTGTACTGAAATACATTAAAGTAGGTGAACTTTCTAGCAGATGACATAAGAATGTGATAAATATTTTGCTTTAAATCAGAGATATTGTGCCTGCTTAACAGGGATAAATTAGTTTGCATTATTTTAATGTCTTATATGGCATGTTAAAGAAAACACTCAGCAAGGAAAAGAAACATTAGAGTTTTAAACGATTACTAACTGGAGTTATCTGGCATTGCTCTGGGCGGGTGATGGGGTTCTGCCGGGGGTGCCCTGTGTGAGGGGCGGGCGGAAGGGGGCGAGCACGGGACCTAGGGTGGGTGGGGTGTGGTGGCCCAGCTCATGCCCAGGGCTGCAGGTGCAGGGGGCAACGACTCCACCACCCACCCTGAAACTTTTGCCCTGCTACCTGCCGCACCATGGGGCCGCACTGGGGGCTCCCCTCTCCCACGGGCCATGGCGAGCAGGTGCCAGGCTCCCTGCTATGCAACCAGGAAGCTGCGCCGGACCCTGGGCCACTCCCAGCACCACTGCCGCCTGCCCACTGGGCTAGCCCCACTGCACCAGCCCCACTGCGCCTGCAACCGCTCCCTAGCAGCGGCGGTGAGCTGCAGCCCACCGCTCGGCAACTCTCAGCTGCTGTCAGAGGGGAGGGGCCCGGGTCGAGTGACATCACAGGGGGAAGAGAGGAGGGGGCTCCCCTGCCCTGGATGCGCCTGTGCAGTGGAATGGCCTGGTAGAGGTGAGTAGGGCAGCTGCCGCTCAGAGCACCACCCTTTGCACCTCCCCCACCGGCCTTAGTGAGTGACTGTCTCTGTCGCTTTCCCCAGGAAACCGCTTCTCCCTGCACTGCCAAAAGTACCTTCTCCTGGAAGAAAGGTTACCCCATGCAAAGTTTGGTTGAGGTAGCTCTTATAGTACCCAAGTTATTTGCACACAAACATACAAACATTCTCCTTTATATATTAGATTACTGACAGTGGCAGCAAATAGCTAAACATTACAGATAGAGAGACAGATTGTGACAGCCCTTACTCAGGCTTGCAGAGGGATGAGACAATGGAAGGAATTGTCCTCTGCTTCAACCCTCTTCCATCCTTTACTCTCCTGGTGAGACTCTGTTCCAGCCATAGGGAAGAGAGCGGGGACTACATTCTTAATACTCCCCCTACCATGATCAATTGGAGTGTGAGGAGTCTTGGTCTGGTGCATGCTGGGGAGCAAGCTGCTCCACCAAAAAGGAAGTGAAATGCTTGTTCCTCAACCAGAGTAAGGAAGGAGGCTTTGGGACTTGGAGTCAGAGTTCACTGTGGTCTGCTCCTGGGACTGTGCAGATTTGCATTGCCCCTTCCTCAGGGCTGATTGTAAAGTTACAGACCAGACCAGAATGATCATTTGCACAGTATAAAGCAAACAAAACTCACAAATAACAAACTTACTTTTCCTGGCCTGGGAAAGGAAACGTGGCTGGAGCAACCTTTGAGACCACCGGCATTTTGTTGGATCACCTTTGCATGCACCCGTTTTGAGTTGTTCTCAGCATTTTTTGGGTGGAGATGAACATTGGGGTGTTTTAATTCACATACTTCTAATGGGAAATAGCAGTATAGGATGTATTTTGTACTGTTCCCTTTCCTGACATATGCATATACAGTTAAATGTTTGTGTTACACACCAGCATACACATTTACTGGTACTTACCAGAAAGCATGATGAACCGGATCCGAGACATGAGAAATACACAGGCTATTGCTCTGGAGCACGGGGAACATACAGGCAATTCAAGTTCCAGCTGGTTTCCAGGCAGGGGCTACCAATTAAAATTAAAAGAGTCAAGGCTGAAAGCTTGGAACTTACAGATGCTCTGGAGAGAGAAGTTACCAGGAGCTAGCACAACAAAGATGTCGCTCTTCCATTAGATTTCAAGCGGTGGGAGAAACTCAGGTAACACATCACTCTTTTCTTCTGGTTTCCTTGATTTTAACATACTCAGTCATGCAGCCAAAATTTCTACAAAAAGAGAGGAGATGGTTCCCTGTGCATTCCCAGCAGCAAGCCAGCCTTTTGAGAGCTGATGTACTGAATATGCCAGCAGTCAGCTAAACAGAGAAAGTGAGATTTGGAACTGAGCAGCTGAGCAGAGGCAGCTGAGTGCGATTGCTTTTCCAAGCTAAAGCCATTACAATGACTATTAATGGGAATACTGTTCACAGATTATATTTTTAAATTTGCATGCTATGATGAAAAGGTCTTCCTACCTCAACATGTCTGTCATGTCCTTTCCTTTGACAGAATGCCTCTTCTGAAGGAGGACACTGAAAACTAACTAGGCAAAATTATTAGAAATCTAGGGGAGGCCTGTCTAGCCCAACATTTATACTGTGATACCTGAGCACCGGAGGTGGCAGTAATAAGTGGCAGATCTGTAACTGCAGTCACTGCGGGGCTTGGGAAGTCCTAGATCCTAACCCATTTTTACTTGCTAAACCTGAACACTCTTCCCTTATTCGCCTAAATAGTCTCATTAATGTGAATGAACTAACTATTTAGATGAATAAGGGCTTCTGGATTGGAATTCTTTATATGAAGCCCAGCCACATGTTAATCATAAGTCTGACAAAACACAGAGGTATAAAGGCTAGTCCATGCTAGAAGACTTTGAAGATATTTGAGTCTCAGTGAGGTGTTACTGAAGTCTGGCAAAAATGTGCATCATCTGAACTGGCAGATTTACCACAATGGAAGCAACATGGGTGTTACCTATCAGTTGCTGGTGGAAGAGTGTGACCGGTGTCTGTCTTGTGTATTTTATCAGGGAGGATTTGTCTTCCCTAGGTACCTATTAAAAATGCTCCTGTAACCCCGGCCTTTTAGTTTTCTTCTGTTAGCCACACTACGGCTGTGTCTAGACTGGCAAGTTTTTCTGCAAAATCATCTGCTTTTGCGGAAAAACTTGCCAGCTGTCTATACTGGCTGCTTGAATTTCCGGAAAAGCACTGACGATCTCATGTAAAATCATCAGTGCTTTTCCGGAAAAATCATACTGCTCCCGTTTGGGCAAAAGTCTTTTTCAGAAAGATTTTTGCGCAAAAGGGCCAGTGTAGACAGCATAGTAGGCAATCGGGGCTTTTTTGCGGAAAACCGCATCTAGATTGGCCACGGATGCTTTTCCGCAAAAAGTTCTTTTGCGAAAAAGCATCCTTCCAATCTACATGTGCTTTTCCAAAAATGCTTTTAACGGAAAACTTTTCCGTTAAAAGCATTTTCGGAAATTCATGGCAGTGTAGACGTAGCCAATATGTTTGTAGATTCACCAGGCTAACATTCCCACTTGACAGCAGCATGTTAAAGTCTTCTGAGTACCTTGTGTCAATAAAATTCAGCAAAAGATAGGTTTTCTTTCTGAAGAATGCAGTGTTCCTTTCTGGTCTTCTCTGAGGGTATGTATAGACTACAGAGCTTTTCCAGAACACCAGAGCTATTCCAGAAAAGCTCTGCCATATCCAAGGAACTGTCTGCTTTTCAAAAAAACTTTGGAAAAGCAGACACATTTTTCGGCATCCCTGTAAACCTCGTTCTATGAGGAAGAAGGGATGTTCTGAAAGAAGGTTTTTTTCCCCCGATATTTGGCCCCGTGTAGATGGGCCAAATGTTGGAAAAGCCTCTTTCAGAAGAAAAGCAGAAAAAGATACGAAAATTGTGCTTTGCAATTTGCGCATTTTTTTTTTTACTTTTCTTTGTAGTGTAAACATAGCCTGAGAGCTTACAGCAGGAACAGTATACTATCAGGTGAAGAATGACACCATTCATTATCGCTTAACTGAATAACCTTCATCTTACATTATGATGCCAGTTACAATTGTAAGCAGGGTCTGAACCACTGCTTCCAATGCAGCCAGCTGAAAGGGGAAAGGAGTCCTGTATGTGGTTATGCTCACTCAGTTGTTTAGTTCTGCAGGATAATCAACTGTTGATATGTAAATACAGTTCATGCTGGAATGGAAAAAAGATCTTAGGTGTGGTTATGTAAATCCAGTTCAGCCACTGCCATAGGCCTGATGGATGGTCAATTGTTGGAATGGAATGTGGTATATTGTAACTAATTTGGCTGTTGTGTGTGTGTGGGGGGGGGGGGTCACAAACCAAGTTAACCCTAAACATAGTAATTGTAAAATATGACCACCAGTGCTTGCAGGAGACACACTGTCATTGTAAAGTCTCAGATGGACAAGCCTTCCTCTTCCCAAACTCAAACAGATTGGATTGGGTGGTAGGGATGAGGGGGAAGGAGATTGAACCAGCAGGCTACATGCCCTCCAGGCATGAGCTGTAAGACTGGTTCAACATATTTCTTCCCCCCCCCCTTCCCCCCGTTCTAAGGATAGACCTAAAACAGACTTCATAAGGAGTCTCGATTATTTTCAAGTATTATTCCAATGGAAGATGGAATCTTTTGGCCAGCCTAGATGACGGCCAAAAGCTGAAATTACCGAGAAACTGATAAAGAGCTGGAATCACTAGGTTTGGCCAACCCATTGTGGAAGCAGCAGTGGGTGGCTGGCAGGTGCAAGCAGCCAGCAGGTGGCTGGTGGGAGCAGCAGCAGGCGGCCAGCGGGGCGGTTGGTGGAAGCAGCAGCAGGCAGTCAGCGGGGGGTAGCCAGAAGGAGCAGGTGGCCAGTGGGGAGGCTGCCAGGAGCAAGTGGACAACAGGAGCAGCACATAGATGGAATTGCCACATGGTTCATGAGCGGAGACATCAGGGCGATGTGTCTGGGTCTGTACTGACTGGACAGAGCTGTAAGTGGGGTGTTTGAAGTGGGGTTAGACTAAAGACCTTTAGGCAAAACATTTTGCCTTGCAAAGTCCAGGGATGGTAACTTGCTTACAGGTTTCTTTCATGTTATGGGTTTTCTTTGTTTGTGTGTGGTCCTGTGGGTTGGCGCTATATTATTGTTATTAAACAGACTGTTTCTATCTCCAACTCAGTGCTTGCGAGAGGGGAAGAATTGCCTCTAAAGGCACCCAGCGGGTAGGCTGGAATTTTACCAGTTTGAGCCAGTTTTAGTCACCTTGTTGAAAGAACCTTCCTAGATACTGAACCTGGCCCTTCTGGTTGCAACTGCTACTGGCAGAAGGGTTACACAATGTTGGATGGAAAGGCTAAGTTGGCATTATAAAATTGTGTAGGAATCAGAATTTCCATTTCATGGGAAATTCCGTGATTTCAAAAACCCATTTTTGTTCTGAATCACAATATTTTTTAAAAAACGTCTCACAAAAAAATCAGTTTAATTTTGACTTCTTAAAAACAAGCTTCTAAACAAAAAGTCACTTTGAAACAAAAAAATAGTAATATTTAATTCCAATGAGATCAAAACAGATTCTGATTACTCCATTTTTTTCCTGATCAAAAAGCCTTTCATTGGGACATTTTCAAACGGCTCTAGGCATTATTGTATATGGCATATTGAAGGTATTGTGACATTTTTACACTGATTACAAAATATGTCAGGCTGGTTATTTTAGAACAATAAACTTAAAAACATGTTAATTTCAAAAACACACTTTGCTTTGATTTTGATCTAAAAATCAAAGACTGCTCATAAAAGGAAGTTTTCATAAGTGCTATAAGTAGGGGCGATGGAGGTATTGCTGCACCCCCTGACTTGAAGTGATTTCCATTGTATACAGGGTTTACAGTTTGGTGCAATGGCTCTCAACACCCCTACTATACAAATAATTTCAGCACCTCTGGGAGTTCAGATCAGCCTTACCATACATTTCAAAACTTAATTGAACAGTTACAAGATTAGTGCAATAAAATAATAGACCAAAATATACTTATATCCTTACTAACAAATTTTACAGAATTATACTGACAGGATAAAAAGGTCTTCTCGGCCCTCATTTCCCTTCCGCCCCCCAAAACAAGCAATAAAAACATTTCTGCATAAACAAATTCCAAATTATAACTAATCATAGGAAAGCTGACAAACGTATGCTATGCTACACTGTGAAAATACTAATCAAAGAAGCCTGTCAATTGTTAAAGTTAATGATTTAGGTATGCAAAGCTCTGACTAAATTTTTGTGGATAATTATATAATTACGCCTGGGTTAACACAATCAAAAATAGCAATTGCATGCTCAGTCTTTAAATCATATCATGGCAGCGCACTCCTACTTTTTAGAGGCCTGTATGCTCCCTTCCCCCCCCCCCCCGTAGAGTGGAAGGAAGCAAATTGAGAAAGAATTCTCGCTTCTGCCAAACCTATCTGTCACTTAACTCTCTGAAAAAAATTCCACTACTCACCAGAGTACAAGTGGAGAGTGGGACCAGGAAAAGATGGGAGCTGGTTCACAGCTACTGCAAGCAACATGCTCTCCCTCTACAATGGATTACAAGTTATTTGAAAACAATTGTCCTCTTTAGGAAAGCAGTCACATCTTCAGTAACAATGTCTTGACAATTTTTAAAAGGATTTTCATGATGTGACAGACTTCCTATAGTTCTGGAATAAGGCTAAAGTTCCAAAGGGTGTTGGGCATCCAACTTATATTGAGTCACTTAGACTATGAGACCTATTAAAAATTCCATCTTAGACCTTTGAAATTTTAAGTTGCACTTGTGGTTTCTTCCTCCCTTTCCCCTACCTGGATGGATGGGCTGCTACTACATTAGTTCTGGCAGATACCTGGACTCTCTAGATTGTATTAGATAAAAAGAGTAGGGAGGGGTAAAATAAATTTTGGGCTCCGTGCTGGATAACAGTCATTGTTTGGCAGACGGTGGTCATGGTGAACATGTGT